TCTCAACATTCACTTTACTTCATTCGGCACGTATTTTGGTGCTGTTTCACGTGATTTCTTCGCACATCGTCCTTCGACTGCAGTTTCCACGCTTTCGCCCTCCAAAGTCCACGTTCTGCATGGGACGGATGTCCCCTGCCACGGCGGCGCCCTTCGGAGGCAATGCGCGTGGTTTCCCTTCACTCAGGGGGGCAAGAGGACGCGCGCGGGATTTTTCCATGCACTCTTATGGCACAACCGGTACGCGTTGCGCGGCGCCCCTCGGAGGCGAAGCGGGAGACTTCTCCTCACAGAAGGGGGCATTCAGGACGCGGCCGTGTTTGTTTTCGTTCATCCCAAGGCACCAACGGTTGCTTTCTAACAAGATGTTACAAGGGACGTCGCGCGCACTTTTCTCACGCTCTGTACAGATGCACAAGAGTGACTTGCCACCGAACGCTACACAGTGTCCATAAAAAGGGAACGACGAGTGGCCCGAAGGGCCCCGAGGAACGCGCTTGCCTGCAGAAAACCTGATACCAACTACAGAAGCTACTGCGAGCCCACGCATGTGAGCCACGACGGTCCCAACCCCGTTAAATGCAGAGAGAGAGGTACAAATACTGTCAACAGCAGGCCGGAGGCCTGCCAGCGGGCCGAAGGCCCGCAAGGGGGGGGTGTGGGGGGGGCGTAGCCCCCCCCCACCGAGCGCGAAGCGCGAGTCATGAAAAAACTACCACCCGGACCCAAGATGATTGAGTAACGTATAGACGCTAATGTTGGGGCACTTCCCATAGGGCTACAGCAAGCGTAAACATACCGTTTTCACCGGAACAAACGCATTGCCTTGAAGAAAAAATCGCAAATTGCACCATTTCCCACTCCTTACCACTCAAAATCCAAGAAAACTATAAAATTTGCCCTCTTCCAGCGTCGAGGTCTCCGGCCGCAACAAAGGGTATTCCCCCGCCGCGACGCGCCGCGACGCGCACCCGTTGCGCGCGACCCAACTTTTCGACCACAAGGACGCGTTTCGGACGGTGGGTTGTCGCGACGACTCCCCCTCGAAATTTTTTGCTCTTTCCAATGAACTTTGTCTTGTCCCGATCGGACCAACCGTTTTCGAGCGGCATTCGATTTGTCACCGAAAAGCGGAGTCCTAAATGCGCCAAAATTGCGTTTTTCGCAAATTTTACCGACAAGATGGCGTTTTAAGTGGGTCATCAAAGCGTACGCTACCCCTCAAATTTTGAGCCGCTCGTATGCAGTCACGACGGACTCAACCCCCTACAATGCAGCGAAAGGCCCGATGCTGTCCACAGCAGGCCGAGGGCCTGCCTCGGGCCGAAGGCCCGCAAGGAAGGGGGTGGGGGGGGGTGGGGGGGGGGGGGGGGGGGGGGGGGCAGCCCCCCCCCCCCCCCCACCAAGCGCGAAGCGCGAGTCCCCCCAAAAAAAATTTCGCTAATTTTCCCGGGAAACTTACCGGCCGATCACAGCCGTAGACGTACCGTTCGAACCGGAACGGGCATGTTGCCTTGAAGAAAAAGTGTCCAATCTTACGATTTCACACTCCTTCCTACCTTAAATCGCGAAAAATATAAATTTCGTACCTCCTTCCCGCGTTGAGGTCCCCGAGCGCCCAGGGGGTATTCCCCTCCGCCCGGCAGACCCCCGCGGCGCTCGAAGCGTTTTTTCACCCACAAGGACGCGTTTCGGATGGTGGGTTGTCGCAAGGACTGCCCCTTAAATTTCATGCTTTTCCTCATGAGCTTTGTCCCGTCCAGATTGGACGAACCGTTCTCGAGCTGCGTACGATTCGTCCCTGAAAAACGGAGCACGAAATGCACAAAAATTGCGTTTTTCAAAAATTTTACCTACAAGCTTGCGTTTGAAGTGGGTCATCAAAGCGTACGCTACCCCTTAAATTTTAAGGCCGTCATTTTACTTCCTATGACTTTTTGTCGTGCGACGCACGGTTCTCGAAATACGACCGCAGTCTCGCCGCCGTTTTGGACGGTACCTGCTGCGCTTTCGGACGGTCCCTCCGTCATCGTGTTTACACCATTCGACACGTATATTTTGGTACTCTTCCACATAAATACTTCGGACATCGTCTCCCGACTACACTTTCGACGCTTCCCGCGTGCAAAGTAGGCGCTCTGGCAGGGACGCAGGCTTTCTGCCGCGGTGTCGCACGGAGGCAGTGCGCGTGGTTTCTCCTTTCTAAAGGGGGCCACGGGTGAACGTGCGTGCGGTTTTTCCGTGCACCCCAAGGTTCTTCCGCCTCATTCCCTTTGAGAGCGTACAATGGCCGCAGCACCTGCAGTTTCCACGCGATCAATGACGCTAAATAACGAAAGCCTGCCTCCTTTCACCACACAGGATCCCTTCAACCCCGAGCTGCCCCCATGCCTGCCGATACCGTGCCCAGTGACCACGAGGGGCCCGAAGGGCCCCGAGCAACGCGCTTGCCTGCCGATAGCGGCCCCACTGACCACGAGGGGCCCGAAGGGCCCCGAGCAACCCCCTTGCCTGCCGCACGCGAAAAGCCTGCCGACAATTCGAACTACAAACGGTTTTCCAGATACGACCTCCGTCTAGCAGCCCTTTTTTTGCCGGCACGTGGTGCGCTTACGGACGGCCCTTTGGAAATTCAGCATACTCCATTCGGCACGTATTTTGGTGCTGTTTTACGTGATTTCTGCGCACATTGTCTCCCGACTGCAGTTTTCACGCTGTCGGCGACCAAAGTCTGCACGTTCTGCATGGGACGGATGGGTCCTGCCACGGCGCCCCACAGTGGTCGAATCACCCCGATTTTCTGGTCATAAGTAATTAAGTTATTATCCAGTGCAGGAAGCGTCGTTTTTTCTTCAGCATATCAAGTTTTTAGGTCGCTGGATTCAATTTTGAAAAAAAAAGGCAGAAAATTTTTGGTCCAGGGGCGGTTTGCGTTCCGAAAGGGGGGTTAACATTTTGAAAACAAGTGTAAAGTTCCCCCTTTGCAGCGGCATTTACGATAAGGGGTTCTCTGAATCTGAATCCAGCATAGCCGGTTCAGATTTTTAGCCTCTGAACTGCTCTACTGGGATGCAGTTTACATTTCGGCTTCGACAGGTCCTCACTACAGCCGTCGACCGTTTTTCAGCTTTCAAAAGACTTTGTTGGGTTCGGACGGGCCATCCACTTGTTCAGCGAGTCTGTACAGATCTTTTTAAGTATCGAAAAGCATCTTCGTGTGGTTTCGGCAAGGTTTGGGCTTTCCTGTTGAGGGGTGCGTGTTTTAAATGTTACCTATAATTTCACAGTCATTTCAATTTTTCCACCATTTTCCACCCCCTTTCCACCAAAAAAGAGGTTTGTTTTGTGTTCATTGACCCTCAAGAGCATCAACAGTAACATAAATTCTAGCGGACATAGCCAATTATGGAATATAATCCACGCTTTTTAGCGATTTTGCCTGAAAAGCTACTGCACTGACCATGTTTTTCGGTCATAGATTCTAAAGTTGCAAACGGAAGCAGAAAAACTCAACGCGGTTGTTTAAAAGACACTTGGGGAAAGGCCTCTGACCTAATGGGACGACCGTGTTTTATCATGTTCTAAAGTAGATTCCCGTGTTTGCATAAAATTAAGTAAAAATTGTGAATGTTTCGAAAACGTGACTTTACCAACCGAAGGAAAGCTCATAAAGCAATGCCCACTGGGGCATTTCATAAAAAACAAGTCAAACTAACTGAAGGAAAAGTTTAGGCGTCTTAAGGTTACACTAGGGCTGTAGGGGCCATAGTCAATTTGCTTCAAAATACATCCATGAAAAACGCTGCAGTATAAGTTCTGTGTTTGATTTTCTTTGTACGTGGACTCGATGACTCTGAAAGCTTATCCCACGTGGATTGACAATGAATAGGGTGTTTCCTAAACGGAAAAGCGTTAGAACATATCAAAATCTTTACTTTAAAAAATACCCTTCTGACCAGAAAATCGGGGTGATTCGACCACTGTGCGCCCCACGGAGGCAAAGCACGTGTTTTCCCCTCACTCAGGAAGGCCAAGATAACGCGCGCGGGGTCTTTCCATGCACTCCAAAGACACAACCGGTACGCGGCGCGCGGCGCCCTACGGATGCAAAGCGGGTGGCTTCCCCTCACAAAAGGGGGCATTCAGGACGCGGGCGCGGTTGTGTTCGTTCACCCTAAGGCACCAACGGTTGCCCTCTAACAAGATGGTACAAGGGACGTCGCCCGCACTGTTCTGACGCTCTGTACAGATGCACTTGAGTGACCTGCCACCGAACGCTGAGAAGTCAGCGCAAAGTCTGAAGTGGCCATCACTGGTACCATGGCCATCACTGGGCACCTTACCCTAGGTAATCATTCATGAAATTTTCACCTCGATCAGTGCCAGTCGTGTTTTTGAGCTTGCTGATTCCACAAAGAATTACCCTATTTTTTTTGATCCCGGGCGTTCATTTATCTGAGTTTCAATGCATGTACGCGCTCACAGAAAATAGATAATTTCTGGAGAACCTGACTCAGGTGAATTCGGAAGTGGCCGAATGCCCACAAAGCCGAAGTGTCACCGCGTCGAAATCTCACTTAGTCAAAACGTTCAGCTTGGTGCACCGGTAAGAAAAGAGAAAAATACGTCTATTGAACCAACCGACTTTAAGTTTGGTTCTTAAAAAACTAACCAAAAAACCAGAGTGTGCTTAAATAACATTTTTGGTAACTTTCGGGGTCTTAATCTCGTAATTGGCTAGTGATTAAAATGTTAAGCATCGGATTACAAAAATGAAATATGGAATTTTGAATTTTTGTCATCCCATGCATAACAGTTTTGTCTCTAAACGTTTACGAGATTTTTACTCCAAAAATTACCAAAAATATTATGTTGGCGCACCCTGCAACAAGCACTTAGAACAGAAAATGGTCCCAAAGTTTGGCAACCTTAATAAGCAACTGGAATGAAAATACTTAAGCCATATATCTTCTTCAAAAGACATGGCTAGAAATACTTACTCTTTCTGAAGAGAAGCAATGTAGCTAGATGTCCGAGCAAGAGGGCGAAAATTAATATTTGACGTTACTTCGGAGGGTTGCATTTGGAAGATATTTGCTAGGTCATGCAGAAGTTTTAAAGAACCGCTGATGTCGTAGTAGTTATCCTTTGAGCTGTTGAAGAACGGCAGTGGACTCAGATCTCGGATTGACCTTACTGGATAGATAGAAAGAGTCACATCAGTTAAGTCAAAATAACATAAAACGCAATTATTTAACCACGCTTTGCGTGAACAATTTGTGAACTTTGAGAGCCCGATGCCCAAGAGAGACGGTTCAGAAGAACTAACATTCGATCGGTTCCCTTGGATGAACCAACGCTGGCTGCTGGCTAAGTTCGGATTCCACCTGAATATAAGATGCTCCTGTTTCTTTTTGGCTGGGCCAGTAACTCGAGGGGAGTTAGGAATTAGCTTTTGTCAGTGTTCGTGTCCGGGCAACTACTCCTAAACGCATCAGCTTATGTGGCTGACATTTTGCGGGGTTGTCAAAAAATACCATTGTTCTATATGCATTAAAGTTAATCTTTCTATCATAACAGGGGTAGTCGTACCAACCAAACAGAACAAAAAAGGCAAAAAATACAACTTTTTGGGGGCCCGCTTCACGCAAAAAAGTACATTCTATCTCAATTGGTTCAGCCCTTTAAACAAAGAGCACTTAAAAACGGCAATAAAAAGTGCAATTTCGTCAAAAACGACCATAGAACATAGCCAAAAACTTTAATTGCTCACAGTTCCCATACTTACTGACCTAGAGAGCTGAAATTTTGAAGGAGTGATCACCCATGGGTAGGTGACATTTGAGCAAAAACATAACATTGTCGTCTATGGTCAACTTCAACCACCTGATATCGGCTCTGGAATGCCCCACTCCTGAAATATGCTCCAAATCTGGAAAATCTTGCTTTACTCCTAAAAACTCAGGAGTAAAAAAGAGTATCAGATTTGGAGGATATTTCAGGAAAACTTGACGAACAAACAACCGAGTGGTACAAATCATGTCTGAGCCACGCAAGGGCTGCTTAAGGTGCATCACGGTCTACAAGAGCTGGAGGGGGAATCCGACCGCTGCTGGTGCAAGCAAGGCATATGTGTGGATTTTTGGAACAAAGGCGACGAGTCAAATTAAAAAGACCTGGTTCTAACACAATCAGCCCTGTTCACGAGGTGCCTAGATCCAGAGTTTCGAAAAAGGGGGTCGACGGACAAAAAATTTTTATCATAGTTTTTCTATAGGCCTTGACAGGACCATTTCGACGAGCGGTCGGCAAAGATGGGGAGAGACAGATAAAAGGAGTGGCAAAGGTTCAGTATACGGCTACTTTCACCGAAATGACCTCTGTCAAAAAGACTCTTTCCGTTGTCCTGATCGAATCAGGCCATGCACGTGCAGTATTTACCCGTTTGGTTTAAGAATGATCCTTTTGATTCTATTTTTGACAGCACCGCAGCAATTTTCACGTCGTTCAAACGATGAAACTCGTACATTGCATCGTTCTTCAATTCTTCTGCAAAGGCAGGCAGCTGGTCGTTGATCGTCTCTATGGAGTTTTTGATAAGGTCATTTTTGGTTGGGTTCCACACCGTGTTTTGCCAAAAGGCATCGCCTTTGTCTAACAGCTCCTCAGCAGTGTGCGTTTGCAGAACGTTCTGGACAGTCTTTAGCATCGTCGTGCTGGTTGTCAATTTCATGACCTGAAACAAACATTAATTAACACACGGGGAACAGTTCTTCACGATAATTTTAATCACTTTGAAGGGGCCTTGGAAGAAGGGCAATTCATAGGAGTGAGTTTGAAATAAACTACCTTTTTTGACAAGGCATTGATAAAATTCAAGACAGGAAGAACAAACAGACTGTCAGAAGTGAAGAGCATTGGTGATCGCCCTGCAAATATTCTTATAGTTCGATAGTGAGTCGCCGGCGACCGGCGGTCGTCGAGAAGTTATAAGGACCGATGTTGGTGTGATGTGGAAATTTCTACTGTTGCGCTCCCGTCAACGCTGCGATAACGACTCGATTACGACTGGGCGTCAAGCATGAAATGGCCTAATATGACCCGTGGGCTTCAATATTGGGCAAGAAAAAAAGTTGTTTGTTTCCATCTTAAGTTGAAGATGTCGTTTCAAAAGTTTTTTTCCCAATTCATGCCATTGCCATTTAATGCCTTTGAAGATGCATTTTTGGCTGAGCGATAGCAAAGCCTGTTACTCCAGTGGGGTAAAAAATCTTTTTTTGTCGGCGTGTCTGTGTGCGTGTGTGTGTGCGCTTGTGTGTGTGCACTACTTCTCCTGAACGGCTCAGCTGATCTGGCTGAGATTTTGCAGGGTCATCAGGTATATTCTGGGCTAACCACAAACCAAAAATAGGCTTTCTTTCTCAATTCGTTTGGTTACTTTAGTCAAAAACAGTTGAAAAACTGCAGTAAAAACACCACTTTTGACGTTCTTTTAACTTTTAATTGAGTTTTAAGTCGTTTCATATGTCTTTGAGGCTGCTGAAGACGTAAATAGAACCTTTTCGGACCCCAAACAGAAAAAAATTCCAATTAGTGTAGATTTTGATAAAGACTTTTTTTTGAGAGGATCACGTTTTTTTGTACGGGCTGCCTAGAAAAACAGGTAAGCTCCGCAGGCCAAGGAAGGTGTATGGACCAAGCGAAGATGGTCGAAACTGGCGCAGCATCGCGATGTCTGTTACGACAAGACATAGCTGCATCGTTGGTTTAAAGTCGGGACACAGGACGACTCGGAAACGCAGATCTGCCTTTGTTGGCGCACCCTCGAACACTTCTGTCTTTATTGGCGGGACGCGATGCACATCTGTCTTTGTTTATAGGGGCCATCGATTTTTCGACGTTTTTTTGGTGTTTTTCGGCGATTTAAACTAAACTAGTTGAGCTAGGATTGTGAAATTTCGCGTGTGCCGAGCCAAGAACATACCTAATGAGCCTGCAAAATATCAGCCAGATCGGCTCACACACACGCACGCACGCTGACAGAAAAAGTTTTTTAACACCACTGGAGTAACGGGCTTCACTATCGCTCAGCCAATGAAGCCGCAAACGCATTCGCTGATGCTTGATATGTACTTTGGGGCTAGATCAACTGACCCGACGGATACTTTGGCTGAATATAGTCAATAAGAGTAAAGATCGAGAAAGATTCACTGCAAAAAAAAATTCTGAAATTTAAGACATAAAAATGTCTTAACTTTAATAACATTTCGAAATGATGTGAAAAATGCGAAATGTTTGAGAAAAGTGCCAAACTTTATTTCATTTACCAAAACTAAAATAAAAAATAATAAAGAGTTGGTCCATTTCAAAACCTCTTTTAAAACTAGGAAACTGGGTTGCCAAAATTAAGATTGCCTGCCAAAAGTAAAAACTCATTTCGTAAAATCCACATGACCGATGACTTTTCATAACTAGATTTCTGAAACTAACTGATTAAAGTTAAAGTTGTACGTTTTAGTGAGAGTTGTCATATTTAATGTACACCGAAGGTTTTGTTTGATTACTTTGGCAAACTTTTGACAAGCCACTTCTCACACAGTGTGGCCCACAGTCAGTCAGCTGCTGGCTTCATGGGCAGGTTTCGCAAACCTGCCGCTAGATGGCGCTTGGAGCGCCCTGTCCGTTCCCGGATAAGTATTTCCTATTTGTATTTCTAAAAAAAAACTTCTTTTTGGCAAAGGAAACCATGTGTTGCCTTAGTAAATATCTTATCGAGCCTCAAGCTCAAATTTTTTAACAAAATAATCTACTGAAATTAAGAAAAACGCAAAACCACGTTGCCACTCGCTGGCGTTTGATGTCGGCCATTAGGTTAGGTTCCAGGCACCTGCTCTGCAGTGACACAGTCGAACGATGGAAGATGTACGATCTTCTGCCTTCGGGATTCGACAAAATTTTGGCTATCGACACTGTCATGTGTTTCGGTGTAAGATGTATTTCAGAATTTTAACATCCCAACTCGTAACAAGACGTCGGTACAGAAGTTCTTTTTTCCCACTTAAGGCAAATATATATTTATAAATTTTAATAAACCATAATCGGGTAGTTCTTTCTCAAATCGCACGACCCCCGAAATCGATGTCTCGGATTCGGACCAAACTTGCTGGACTCATTGCTTGGGTCACCAAAACCAAGTTTCTGACCCCGAAAATATTTTTTTTTGCTCTAAAATTATTTTTTTCCTTTTAAAGTGTTAAAAAATGGACCAAAATTCGAATTTTCGTCCAATTGACCCTACATTGTGCAAAGTTGTTTTTTCAACGTCTTTTTGATCTTATCTTATCCTATTTTAACCTATCCCACTCAGAAATGGTTTTTGACACCACTAAAAACCATGAAAAACGACAAAATTTTAACGTTTTCTTGAATACCCAAAAAATGCATCCGAATTTTTTCATGAAAATTTGTTTTTAAAGTCATATTTTGGTCCTCTAACATGTGTCAAAAAATTGGGAGAGTTAAATTTGAATTGCCTTTAAAATAATTTTTTTCCACTTTTTTCAGTGAAAATTTTCACTGAAATGACTCAATTTATCAAGTTTTCAGCAAGACTATTCAAGTCTCATGGCTCCTGGGTCCTCCTGGATGGGCAGGGATGTTGAAAATGTATTACTGAGTAGATAGTAGCTTCAAGATGTTTATTTTTAATTATTTTAGATGGTTGACAGGCAATACCGGTAAATTGCCCTAGACTCCGACGAAGTCCCGGCCCATAGGCCCCGATCCGACCCCGACCTGGCCCCGACCCGACCCCGACCTGGCCCTGACCCGGCCCCGACCCGGTCCCGACCTGGCCCCGACCCGGTCCCGACCTGGCCCCGACCCGGCCCAGACCCGGTCCCGACCCGGCCCAGACCCGGCCCAGACCCGGCAAAGACCTGGCCGAGACCCGGCAAAGACCTGGCTCAGACCCGGCCGAGTGGCCGGGTCGGGCGACACCCGGTCGCCCTATAGGAATCCGGCAAAGCCTTGGCTAAGCCCCGGCAGAGTCCGACCGACCGGCCAAGTCCGGCCACGGTGTAAGAGTGCACCACCCGAAGAGTGGTCTCCCTACACCGTGAGTCCGGACTGGGGCGGGTTCCGCCGGGCACACTCTTCGGGTGGTGCACTTTTACACCGGGGCCCGGGACTTGGCCGTCGGTCGGACTCTGCCGGGGCCTAGCCAAGGCTTTGCCGGATTCCTTTAGGGCGACCGGGTGTCGCCCGACCGGGCCACTCGGCCGGGTCTGAGCCGGGTCTTTGCCGCGTCTCGGCCAGGTCTTTGCCGGGTCTGGGCCGGGTCTGGGCCGGGTCGGGACCGGGTCGGGGCCAGGTCGGGGTCGGATCGGGGCCTATGGGCCGGGACTTCGTCGGAGTCTAGGGCAATTTACCGGTATTGCCTGTCAACCATCTAAAATAATTAAAAATAAACATCTTGAAGCTACTATCTACTCAGTAATACATTTCCAACATCCCTGCCCATCCAGGAGGACTCAGGAGCCATGAGACCTCGACACAAGGGGCCAGAGCCTAACAAAACTATAAGACTTAAAGTACACCCACGTTGTAACTCACCTGATTCGTTGCGTGCAGCATGTCACCTAGGACTTGCAAGTACCGTATTAATGGCTGAAGTAAAGAGGAATATAATTCCGATGTATTAAAAAATCTGTTTCCAGAGGGAAAAACTGCTTCCACAATTTTTTTAAATACGCTGTTTCTTATAAGGATGCACTTCAGTCCCTCAAAATCTTTGGCAAATGGTGTTAACTGCGAGGAAAAGGGGAAGACATTAAAAACAGGAGTTTCGCAATAAAAATAAAAGGGTGAAGTCTTGTTGGTATGGTACAAGGAAATGTTTTTCCTCCCATGCAACAAAAGAATATAATTCAAGACAATTTATTTGCATCAATTGTCTTGATTTACATTGTTTAACATTTGGATTTGTTTAGAGGAGATGACATTTCTTTCTGGAAAAAGTTCCCTGTTACATACAACACCCTGTTTGCACAAAAAGTATCGTAGTCATTCTCCACGTTAAGAGAAGCATTCGCCGTTGAATATTTTGGGTGTTGAAGAAAAATCTGTTCGGATGTGTTCCTCCAATGATGCTCAAAATTTAAGAATAAAATGTCCGCAACGTAAATTTAGACATCTTATGACACCGTGATTTTTATCTTAATGTCCTTTGTGTGGTGGTTTTTGACGCTTTCAGGATGACGCTCCTTGCCGAGCCGAACGCAAAGAAATTTAGTCAAATTTGACATGTCACATATATGTGGGATCAGAGATGTACAAGTCACCGTCACGAAAAACAACCCATCAAAACTTTCTGTTTAAATTTTGCGCACGAAAATGGTGTTTTCGCCCACTGTGCATCGTCAAACTTGTTCTCTGAGGTGTGGAATGACAAAAATGGCATTTATTTTCACCCCGACCAAGGTCCTAAACGGGTAGGTACATTTCTGAATTTAAAACCGACTTGAAGTGAAACCACAAAAAGTTTTCACTTGGCAACATGTATCTTCACTTCATCGGTTTGATAAAACTTCAATTTCAGCTAGAACGACAAAGCGCCTTGACTATAAAATCAATATTTAAAGGCCTATTTAGGACGTGTCCTTCTTGGTAAAAGTTCGTTCGGCGTTCCTAGGTGACAAATTTTCTGCCGTTTTTGAACGACAAAAAGCCGAAATTTCGAGAACGGGATGTTGGATCGAGACAAAAGATGGTTCAAAAGATAGGAACTTAAATTTGAGGGAGAGCCGACGCTTTGATGACCTATCAAGGCCGTGTCCTACTTGGTGAAAGTTCGATCGGCGTCCCTGAGCAGCGGGGAATCGCACCTAACATGCGCAACACAGGCCTTATGAAAAATGAGTTTTTGGCCCGTTGCGTTTTTTTTGGCCCGTCTCGTTAATCCTTTGTAAAAAAAAATGACGAAGGGACGGGCATATATTATGATCCCTGCTGTGCGTCCGTCCGTCCGTCCGTTTTGTTTTGTTTCGTCCAGGACTTCCCGCGGTCCGATCTTGAAACCCAAAATTTTTTTTGGCCCGGGTGACCCGAAAAAGGGGGCCCCCACCGGGGTTTGGCCGAAAAAATTTGACGGGGGAAAAAGACCAAAGAAAAAGTTAAGTGGGGTAATCAAAACTTTTTTTTTTTTGGTTTCAAAACCCAAATGCTTTTGAATTCCGCATGGGCCCCCCGAAAAGAGCTTATTATCCCCAGGAACAAAAAAACAAGGTTTTCCCCTTTTTCCCCGTTATTTTGCCAAAATTAGGGGGAAAAAAATTTGTTCTTTTATTGGGTTCCCGAAAAGAAAAATGGCCCCCGCGTCCAGGCACCCTTTTTGCTTTTCCCCAAAAAACCCGGGCTTGGGGTTTTTTGAAAAAACCTTTTTGCACCATTTTTTGGGAACGGCAAAAAAACGTTGAAAATTTTTCCCCATTGGGGGGGTTTAAAGCCCTTCCAAACCCAAATTGCAAAATAAAGGGGGGAACAAAAGAAAAAAGTTTGGGGGGCCCCTCCCCGAGGGGCAAAAACTAGCCACTTTTAGCCACTGGGACATTCCATGTGAAGTCAACCAGGCCTTAGCCACCATGGGCTCCGATCCGGTTCTTGTTTTCAGGGTTTGTTACCCCTATGGTCCCATGAAATAATCGGTACTTGGTTTGGGTTCCGGCCCCCTAGGGGCTGGGCTATGGCCAATTTACTTTTTTGCTAAATATTGAAACAACGCAACTTTGGAGGGCAATATCTCAGCAACCATTGGTCGTAGGTCAAATCCGAGACCAGATTTGGAAAGAGGATGAAAAACTAAATCTTTTTTGTCTTTGAAGTTTTTATGTCCAAAAACTTTTTATAACTTTAAAACTTTAGTGAAGTTTTCAAATTAGCGCCATTTCCTAGATCCTCAACCGATTTTGACCAATCTGGGCTTAAAAAATAGCTTAAACCCTTCCCTAAACGAAAATGTTAACCAAAAAATGTGTTCGGCTTCGTTCCCGAGAACGAGCCATTTTCGTGAACCCCTGCAACCACGTATTTCACCAAATTGTAGTGACGGCCGCACTTGATACCACACTGGACGCTCTCTTAGGTGTTTCGGCTCAAAGCAAGCTTCCGGGTTGCTTTTTTAAGGTCAGGGGACCCAAGTGCCTGTCAGGTTGGCCAACAACCAGCAGACCTGCAACGCATGTGACGACTGATGTGACAACTAGTGACGACAGGGTGGCCTACCTTGCCCCGAGTGCGACAGGCAGCGCGCTCTGGGCGGTCGGGCCAGTACTACACCCTGACAACCCGCCGTGATATTTTACAGGTGGGGGTGGGTGTTGTTGTAAGGTATTGTTGCTCGGCAGGGTAGGGGATGTTTCAGGCGTTTGGGTAAACATACATGTTTGAGTTCTCTTTGACAGTCTTATGGTGGTTTTGTACTTGTTCTCCCCCGATTTTGCTTTCGTGTTAAAGAAGAGCTTAGCTATAGCCAAAGAAAAGTATCTTCTTGGTATGCCTTCAGATTAATGCCAAAATGCCGTTAAAGCGTGCTGTTAAGCCTGCTGGAAAGCATAAAGAAAAGTTTCTACTTTAATCTACTTTAACTATAGCTATATCTAAATAAAAGTATCTTCTTTAACACAACTAACATCTATCTTCAATGTTATTGACTATGGTATGCCTTCAGATTAATTGCAAAATGCCGTTGAAGCGTGCTGTCGAATCTGCTGGGACTGACAAACAAAACTCAAACATGTATTTTTTACCCAAAGGCTCACTCAAACGCCTGAAACATCCCCTACCCTGCCGTGCAACAATAACCAACAACAACATCACCAACCTCCACCTGTAGATGTCACGGCGGGGTGGCGGGGTGTAGTACTGATCCGATCGCCTAGAGCGCGCTGCCTGTCGCACTCTCCATTTTACAAGAATTTCTTAGAGTGCAGGGGCAAGGCAGGCCACCTTGTCGTCACTAGTGCGTTGCAGGTCTGCTGGTTGTTGGCCTACCTGACGGGCGCTTGGGTCCCCTGACCTTAGAAAAGAAACCCGGAAGCTTGCTTTGAGCCGAAAACACCTAAGAGAGCGTCCAGTGTGGTATCGAGTGCGGCCGTCACTACAATTTGGTGAAATACGTGGTTGCAGGGGTTCACGAAAATGGCTCGTTCTCGGGAACGGAGCCGAACACATTATTTGGTAAACATTTTCGTTTAGGGAAGGGTTTAAGCTATCTTTTAAGCCCAGATTGGTCAAAATCGGTTGAGGATCTAGGAAATGGCGCTAATTTGAAAACTTCACTAAAGTTTTAAAGTTATAAAAAGTTTTTGGACATAAAAACTTCAAAGACAAAAAAGATTTAGTTTTTCATCCTCTTTCCAAATCTGGTCTCGGATTTGACCTACGACCAATGGTTGCTGAGATATTGCCCTCCAAAGTTGCGTTGTTTCAATATTTAGCAAAAAAGTAAATTGGCCATAGCCCAGCCCCTAGGGGGCCGGAACCCAAACCAAGTACCGATTATTTCATGGGACCATAGGGGTAACAAACCCTGAAAACAAGAACCGGATCGGAGCCCATGGTGGCTAAGGCCTGGTTGACTTCACATGGAATGTCCCCACTGTGCCGTTTTAGGCAGCCTAATTTCTATCTGTAAACAGCACAAAAATGCAGTTATTCGACACTTTATCGCGCGCGCGCGGTGCTACGCCTGGCTGTAAGTCTATCATTTCTCATTTAAACCTGTGGCATGCGCTGACATTTTTTGTTTGTCTTGTCAAACCGAATCCATTTCTATAAAGAAATTTTGATTTGGACAATTTTGAAAATTCACTCCAACCCCTTGGAATTATAAATAAGGCATTCCATTGGATTAAAAGACAGATTTCAATGAAGTTGTATTTAAAAGTATGAAAGACGTGTTTAACGACACTCAGAACCCACGGGTTCAAAATTTCAGGCTTGAAGTGCAAAAATAAGAGTTTTTCGCGTGGAAAGTGGTGTTTCCGCCCACTGTGCGCCCGGTGGCAGCAAATCCGATCCGAGCCCCGGGGGCGCTGCTGCAGGTTCATCATGGTCTACATGGGTCATTCCACGCCAAGTCGTCAAGGTTTTGAGGGACGTGTCGGCCGAACCCAGCGGTATTTTCAGGGATTGTTGGCCCTATGGGCCCATTGAACGACCGGTCCTTTTTTCCCCAGAAAGTTGACAGGGGTCTGAGATATCTGAAACTTAATTTTTGGTAAAAGAAATAACCTATCAACCAAAAAAAAATTTTTATCTCGGAAAGTATTTGTCCTTTCTCAAAACCGCTTATACTGTTGGAAAGAGGAAGAAAAACTGTAAAAGATAGGATTTTTTCCAAAAATTCTTGGATACTTTTACTTTTTCCACTTTTCTAGTGAAATGTTAAAAATTTGCAACTTTTTTGTACCCTGATCAAAAATGACATTCTATGGCTCAAAATGTACCTTGATATGTCCTCTAAATGAAGAGATCAACGCCCCAATGTATTTTGTTTAGTTCCGGAGAACGAGCGGTTCGAGTGGACCACTGCAAGGCTACTTTCCCGCTGGAACGGCTCCCACGCCACGCTTGCCTTCTCTCTGTAAGCGGACGTGATCGCCAGGGTTTCGTGCCTTTACGTGCCCCGGCGTCGTTTCATTTTGATTTGGTGAACCGAGGACCGAACGCGGCGAGCCTGAAGGGCGGCAGTGTGGCGCGGCCGCCGGCTTCCCCAACCCTACCGCTTAGTGAATATTTCGTGCCTTTCA